GATTGGGCATCACTCACACCGTGAAACAGACTATCTGGTTTTTTCACGCCGGTTTTCTGTTAGGCCGAAACTTGGCTCTCCCACATTTAAAGTGAGTTCGACAATAAATTTAATCGTTAAATCCTACTTATACATATTATAAATGTAAAAATGTTTAACAATGGATGAATGTAGGTATATTTTTTAATCTTTCATGCAAAAACGGCTGGACTAATTTGATTGAAATTTGGTATATATGTACTCGTAGATAGTGGTTTACACATAGACTGCTATTTATCAACATACACATTAGTATTTGCGTAACATTTGTCTAACCTTAGTTTTTCCATGTTGTATGTATTTCTAGAAAATTCTATCTTGTAACTCGTCAAATTAGTTAGATAAATTCATCTTTACGACTATCAATATTCAGCTTATTGAGAATTATTGTAACCTGACTCCTGTATGCTAGTATAATTGGTCGTACTGTACAATCAAATCTTTCTCTACAGTGTCTGTCAGTTCGTCGCTTAATCAAGCGATTTACTAACAAACTCTTTTAATACTTTTTAAAAGTTTGTGTAACTATACAAAAAGAAGTTCACCATAATTTCTATTTGTTGGTCGATTGGAGATCTCAGTATGAGTTTAAATTTATCAAATAAATTATTCCGTTGCTCGCCTATTTAGAAGAGCAATCATCTAAGTACCTTATGTGAGTTTCTTGGGTTATAAGGACGGGTTGTGGAAAATATTGGGCATCCGACAACGACACTAATACGGCGGAACAAAAAGCAAGCGTTAATTTACGCCGATTTTATGTGACATAATTTAATGCTAAACTCGGATCTTACGACATCTTCGGAAATATTAGAAAAAGTGAAAAAAGTGTTTTTAGTCTATCATCATAATACGGCTTCTGTGTAATGTGTCAATCAAACCGATAATTATTTATAAATAACGCTGTCGGAAACCATGTGATTAGGATTGCATTAGTAATAATATATGTATGTGTAATGAATACGAGTGGCTGGGTCGGATTACACAAATTAATCACTGGATAGGTAATAGGACACTTACAATCGGTTCTGATAGATTTACATTGTAATTAACAACTCAATCTGTGATTTTTATACGTTGGCTTACAGTCAATGTCATGCTTCGAGTATTAAAACATACAATCTATATTCATATGTATATGAAACTCATTTCCCCTGGTCATGGCAACACGAGTTAAACGCTAGACCAATAATCATTTTCATGCTTTGTCTAAAATAAGCAAAAATGTTTTTTATAAAAGAAGATTTTAGAGAAGTGGAGGGTAAAATCGGGATATATCTGATATACTGACTGCACGATTGGCGCGGTGGCTGGGCAACTGGCTGCCGCGCAACGTGTCGCGGGTTCGATTGCCGCACGGAACAACCCTTTGTGTGATCCACAGATTGTTGTTCCGGGTCTGGGTGTGATGTGCATGTGAAATTGTATTTTACCCACGACACAGGAGAAAATCCTAATGTGGAACACGGTTTTTTTTTAAATATCCCTTTCGATACCATGGGTATTTGCTAAGGTTGGCATCTAAGTTGAAGAGTCGAAGTGGAGCGGGTGTCTTAAACTTTATAAACTCACTCGTCAGCTGCACCGGAGATTAGGCTATGCGACCCGAAAAACGTATTTTTTAAACCAGCGCGGTTTAAAAAATATCGTAATCGTTAATCGTAATGAGTTGTGTTTCTTATCAATATCGTTTCACTTTATATTACATATAGATATTAGTTCAATCACAAATATTATTAGGTATTTATCATTTAAATTCTAATATTGCTTTTTACTTTAAAATAATAAATAAATACCTAAATTGAACAACATAAAACCGTTTCGCAGTTGTAGTACCTATAGTACCTATTATCGATTCAAAACTTAAATATTTTACGATGTTAACAATGCCTTAATTTTCGTGCCTACGTCATAGCTCAAATGTTTACGACATGAAACTGTAATCTATCCCGCAGAAACACTTTATTATGCAATAGCATCCGCCCGAGATTTCGAGGCTTTGCACGCGTATAAAAATAATGTATTAAAAAATAGTAGCGTTTGAAGCGATTTTTTTTTGTAAGAGGAAAATCATCGAATGACTTCTCCCGCCGCCCAGGGTCGGGCGGGAGGGAGTGTCAGAGTCTTACTGACTAAAAACCTCCCTGTTCCTTCTCCTGCTCGGGCCGGGCCATGCTGCATTATTGCACTTGCTCCCACAACTTTCACTGGATTAATGATACATTGCTATTGACTAAAAACATAGTTTTGAGAGCAAAAATGTTATATGATCTGCTGGCTCATATATCAAGTTTGTTGCTAAGGCAGAATGAGAATTTCAGTTTTACTTGATAACAAAAGTAAGTTCGAAATACAAAATTTTCACAGCGATATAAACTCTTTGTAGCAGAAAATAAACGTGATATTTGTAGTTCATATTTACTCAACTCGACATTCCTACGTACGAAATTTTTATTTCCGCCATTCGACATAATGGTCAGGATGGTCAGGTATTTGAATGGAATAAAAATAACTTTTGCAACCAAAAAAAAAACAAATTCTTTGTAATGTAAATTCCGAATGTTTGATGGATTGCAGTATCTCGGGTTGTGTCGGTTTTTTGGGTCAGATGTTAAATTTATGTGAGCACATCATTAATGTGCATAGTATGCAGGGGACCAAATAAATGTAGCCTTCAAGATTGCACAACTACCAGAGACCTAGTCACCAAACCATTTATGTCCCTGAGTCACGCCGGACTTATTTTGAAGTATTCTACTGTAGTGTATTGATGATTCTGACTTAAAGGCATTGAAACGCATTCGGCAGTTTGCGGTGGGCTCATAGGAAAAAAATACAAAACAAGTGCGTCTCAGTAAAAAAATGATTTAAAAATCTTTGAGATAAGAAAAGTAATTTTGATAACCTCAGAAATTATCCTAATGATACACCAGAGCGCCTATTTTAACTAACACGAGTATTTCTACAGTAATACAACGCAATCATAAATGTATTTCAACGTTCATTACAAAATTTTCCCATTCGAGTTGTGCTTGTACTAAGCATCAATGAACCGTAGGTAAAGCACGTCGTATTTCAGAGTGCAAAGCGAACATTGCAACTGACGCGTTACACTTTGCATATAGGTTGCCATTGGTTGAATGAACCTAAACATCGAAAATGCCCCTCTACATTTCGGTCATTGAGCAATTTTGATCTTTGAGCTCGAACGAATAACCTCGTGGTGAGAATCGAAACTAGTGATGTGAATTTAAACTGCGTTCTGAATTGGTTTCGTAATTAAGTTTTGTCTGTTGACATAATGAACCACATAGCGTGAAATTTATATTTTTTTTAAATAACGACTTACTCACTTGAATAATTTGAGAAAAGCTATTAATTTCAAGTCACGACGGCTGTGCGACTGTGAGTATGGTTTGTAGTCTACTGTACTGTTCTTCGTAAGTACCGTTTCTTATCGAAAGAGTCTGACACTCTTTCGAGAACCACCATGTGTAAGAGGCTAAGAGGTTATTATATTGATTATTTTGCATCTCAAAAACCTTGCTAATATTAACAAAATCGGAGTTGATACATAATCGCTGCTATATACAAAACTAGGCAGCCTTGTCCTTTACAATTTTGAAACACTTATTTATGATTCGACATAAACTTTTACTCGGACATTTTCAACGTCAAATATGCATACTGAAGTTAGTTAGAACTTAATTTTCGTGTCGTGAATTTTTAAAGCAAAGCCTTTTGTAGGCAGACTTATTAGCATAACCGGCTTCCGTGTCAAAGATTCTCACTTATATTTTTTATTAAGAGAATTAAATAACTTGGTCGCCCTCGCCGCTACTTGGAGTGACAGCTTAGTTCCAGTGCATGGATTTAATCATGGAGTAGTCTGCTTATAATTCAAAAGTTAACGAAACAAAGTTGTTTACACAGTTAATATAGAAGCTCTCTTATTATGATTGTAAAAAAAACCTAGTAGTTTCTGACTATAGCATTGAACAAAGAAAATAGTTACCATATTTTTGCGATAGTTCCAAAACATAAGTTTTAATGAGCAATATAACATTTAGTAACGCTACAAAAACTTTTAAATCAACAAATGTCTTCTTTCAGTTCTTCGTCAGTAAAATCAGAGCAATTTAAACATGAATCGAGTTTTTCTTTAACAGTCGGTAGTTACTACCGTTTCCTGTTCCTGCCTTTGACCTGACTTTTACCTAGAGGAAGCGAACTGTAGCGGTGACTCGCTACGACCGTAATCGTAGCGGAAAGCGTAGCAAATATTTATGTTTGAAATGTGCTACGAGCTGCTACGAACCTTCGCTACGAATCAATGATTCGTGTTTTGATGACGTAATTTTTGCTAGGTATTAATGATATTCGGTACTGTGCAAATAAATTATTAACTTATAACATTACTGTCATATTGTGGGCCAAATAATTACAAAAAAAAACATCAATTTAGACGAATATAAAACGCGCAGCTATTAATTTTAAATGTATAACACTTTTTTTTGGTTTTCTTACCACTATATTCTTATCTTACTGTAAAAACATTCGTGAAATTGAGCATAACGACCTTTTAAATCTGTACTACTGAACTAACTCATTAATTATGTTCATTAATTAAAATATGTCGAAAATTTTTAGTAAGATTGTAATCAAAAATACCAACAAAGATTGTTACGGAAGGAAATATTTTGTTTGTTAGCATAAGTTTATTGAACTCTGAAATCTGAACCTAAGTTCATAGCATGTTTAAGTTACGTGAATGCTAATTTGCTTGAAAAATTACGAACCGTGGCTTACCTAAGTGCGACGCTGATAACCGAAATGAAAAGCGTGGCGACATGCTCGGGAAATATTAATATTTTATTTAAGCATTACTTTGTAAGGTTATAATTTTGAATGAGACTTATTTAGTCTCGAATAAATGGTTGTTAATTAAAGATTAAGTGATTATGACGGTGTATCAGGTATGTACGAACTTTACATTTATTATGTATATCTTCAATAGTGGGTCAATTGAACTGAAACGTTCGAGTAGGTGGATTAAACGTTAATCAGACTTTATGTTTTATTTGAAAACATCTTGAAACGGATTATCGGTGATTGTCGTGACTAGAGGTCTAGTTTGTTCTTCGACCTCATTGTGTTGTTTAATTAATTATATTCTGCGAAATATTAAAATATTGATTCATCTCTTTTTGTAATATATTATGTTAGAAAACGTAATCCACCGGGTATGCTGTGAAGTCGGCAAAAATACATTTAAATAAATCTAAAGTTTTTCTTCGAAAAAAATCCAAAAATTTTTAAACGAAATTCAAATAAAATTTCTAACTGAAAAGCTAAATAAAAAAAAAGATTACATTTATCGCAACTCCTAAACGTCAAAATGTTGAATTTATGGTACTCTATTCGTACATTTCGTCGACTATAAAATTATTTCACGATAAAAAATAAATTTTACATTACATTTGTTATTATTATTCAATTGCTTCATCGTGAAATAAAATGCATCCGTTGATTTATGAGCTCGAACTGTTTACTTGGAAAAAAATATAATTTAATTTGAATTGTTATCTGTCTACGAAGAAAGTACATATAATTTATTGAAATTGTCGACTGTTCTAGCGACGAAATAAAATGGAAAAGTAAATATTTGCCCTGCCCAAGCTGCAGACGTTGTCGGGTGGAAATTAATGTATTACTTGATGCAATCGTCTGCGGCTTCGCGGTGATAAATTAAACGAGGACGGCCTGAGACAAGGCCCACAATAATTATTTTCACAACAACCCTGTTCAATTCATTTTAAAATGTTGGTTTATGTGATTCGCTTTTAAAAAATGTTGTTAGTTTTCTGTTTCCTTATATTCTTGGGTAGTTACGACTTTTACAATAAACTTATTGGACTTATACAATAAAAAGAGAATGGAGTAATTTATTTGTGTTGAATATTTACCGAACTTTTAGTAGATAATGAGTTAGTAGATTTGAGTAATTCTTTTACGGACAAGCAAGTTTTTTTTATCTATCGACTTTATCTATTCGGCTACAAATAGTGTTTTGAAAGTAATGATATTTTAACTTTTCATATATGTATATCGGAAACTAATAAGAAACCTAGCCTTAATTGGCTCAGTTTTCAACTTGTCAAATATAATACCTTTTCCGTAATGTTACAAACGATATTTTCCATGAATTTTGATTGAAGTAACACGTGGTGAGTTCTTATTTTTTTACTTCACAAAGCATATTTATTTCTCTTGAATGTAATATGCTTTATAAATTCTCTTGCATATTTGTTTCCTACCCTAGTATCAAAAATTTCAAATGGGACCTGTACGTAGATATGTTTATTTCTATTATTAATAAATTGTTGCATACATTGTCATGACCGACGATAGAGTATCTAAGATTAGTATATGTGCATACTAATCAAAATAAGGCGAAAAAAGTAACCGGAGGCCCAATCCTTCCCCTTCCCGGACCCTTCCCCAATCCCTAAATCTCCAAATCCCTAATCCCTAAAAGGTCGGCAACGCACGTGTAACTCCTCCGTTGCGGGTGTCCATGGGCGGCGTTGATTGCTTGCCATCAGGTAATCCGTCTGCTCGTTTGCCGACTTATTACATAAAAAAAAATTACACTTTTGTACATACATCTGTGTACAAGGTGGACTTAATACCACAGGCATTCTCCCCCAGTCAAACCTTTGGGCGATGCAGAGATAACAGTAGGTGCAAGAAGCAAGCAAAATCTAAAGTAATTATCTAGTTACTATCAACTTCTTTATAGAACCTGAAACTAAACTATTTTTGCTAAAGTCTACCAAACAGTCAAGCTGACCTACATCATAAAAACAGTTTCAACCAAAAAAGAAATTAAAAAAGTATTTGCTATATAAAAATACCAACGATAACTGGAAACGAGCAAACCTTGTGGGAACAATTGCAAAACAAGTTATAAAACAAAGTAAAACAATCGATCTGACTGCGAATGCACGACGCGAGTTTTGACTGGAACAAACCATTTTCGGCTCGTTTAAAAATGTTATTCCGGAGAGGCCAGTTTGCTACAAATTAAAAACTTTTTTGTTTGCATTACATTGAATATACCTACATGTGTAAATGTACAAAAATCGCTTCACTATCAGTTTATAAGTAGCCACTGCTTTGCAAAGGCCTCTTCTCACACGGCGAAGATTCACTACATTTGGTTTAGGTGGATTGCTGATTTCAAACTTACATTAAAAAAAATTATAAGTCTAGGTTTCTTCACGATTGTCAGTTTGTCAGTTATGACCAAATAATCTTAAAAAGTACATATAACTCAGAAAAAGTCGCATTTGTTCTAATCAGGTTTTGAGCCCGCGCCCTCATTCATCAGAAGCGGGCGCCGTTACTTCTGACCACCATGACAAATTTTCAAAAATATGTATGTTATCAATGTTATTGAATACATATTATATCCAAGTTGAGATAGGAAACTTAACAGCATTTGATTCAGTTTCATTTACTCAGTAAAAAAGTACAGAATTGAATAAGATTATTCATCACTATCATTAAAAAGCTTAGATGTAGAACGAAGAATTAGATAAAGTTAATAAAAAACAGGATTTTTCTTTGACGTTGTTTTTTTACCGAATGCTAGACAGGATTTCCAATTGAGAAACGCCATGCTCCTTTCTTATAGAATTGTACTCGCTTGCTAATGCCAAAAGAAGTACACAATGAAGTTAGTTATGACCATTCACGTCATAATAGCCACGTCAGCATACAAACAATTCACCTGAGTAAACATATACGTTATATATTATGTATGTAAGTACCTGGTGACCCAAATACCTGGGTATATTAACATATTTTCTCTTCTTAATTACTCCGAAAAATTCACGTTGGAGTCGCTATGTCACAGAGCTTTTTTATGACCGTACAGATTAAACATTCTTCCACATATGACATTAACGTACCTCTTTGGTGAAATAACTTTTATGTTAAGTAAATAAGTTTAGAAATAGAAAGAAGATACATTCAAAAATATTTAAACTCTCATGTACCTTACTATGTACCTTACTATGTGACTGTAATGTTGTGGTGGCCCGGAGGTTAAGAAGCCCGCTTCTCGTGCATGAAGGTGTGGGTTCGAAACCTGGCAAGTACCAATGTAACTTTTTCCGAGTTATATGTGCTTTCTATGATTATTAAGACACCACTGACATACGGTGAAGGTAAACATCGTGAGGAAACCTGGACTTATAATTTCTAAATATAAGTTTTAAATCGCCAACCCGCATTGAGCAAGCGTGGTTATTAATGCTCTAACCTTCTCCGTATGAGAAGAGGCCTTTTCTCAGCAGTGGGCACTTATAGGCTGATGATGATGATGATGATGATGATGGTGATGATGATGATGATGATGATGATGATGATGATGTACCTTACTAATGAGGGTTTTTCGAAGGTCTAACTACCTGTCAAAATATGTTGCAGACGGAATATGGTTTTCCGAAATGCCACACTATTGTACAGTGCCTATGTGTGCAAATAAACACACATAGGTACTCTTTTTAAGCTCAACCTTCAGTTTGGCAACATTTCTTTGGCATAATAAAACCAATTATACATACAAACTATACTAACTTACAAATATAGAGAAAAATACAAAAAATAATAAAAAAAATAGTAGTCAGACAACATAGATTGTCTCGTCCTATAAGAATCTATGCTGTTGACAGCTGTTTGGATTTGACGCATACGAAGCGCCCCCTACGGCAAATAATGTATCAAAGTCTCATTAGATAGCTAGTACATCAGCATTAGTTGACTCATGTCGAGGTCTTGTATTTTCTAAAGTAGGAGGATGAGAAAACGCTTGAATAGGGCCTGATATTTAACAAACTTTTTTTTAATCTCGCCCCACACTTGGATTATCTCCCGTCCCGTGGGTACATATACTAACATACAATGTCACATACACGTAACACCCAGACTCGGAACAATGATTTGCAGATCACACAAAGAGTTGTTTCGAGCAAAAAGTACCTACGACACGTTGCACGGCGGCTGGTTGCTCAACCACCGCGTCAACAGTGCAGTTTTTTCTTTATACATAATCCAATTTGTTAATTAATATTATGAACGTTGAAATAAACGATAAACTATTGTATATATAAACATAATATGTATAATAATACATAATAAATTCTAAAATCGATAATAAATGAATTTGAGCAAATTATGCAGTAGGTATTATTGTTTCTTGGTATTGTTTGAATTACTAAAACAAAACGTGACGGCAGAATCATTGCATATAAATCGTGTGTTTCGAAAAGAAAACAAGCACCCGTGTTTCTGAGAAGTCAACTGGCGTATATTATAACCCGAGTATAATTTTAAAACATTTAAGCCACATTCGCATGACAGGGTAGCGTGAGCCGCGCCCACCGTGTAATAACATTTTTGTCCACATAAATCAAGTTGTAATAATTTGTACAAAGAACTCCGAATTAACATAATGTAGGCTTCGATGTTGCTAAGAATAAAAGTCTCAATTAAACCGCATGACTGTTTCTAGAACTTGTAATTTATTTGTCAAAGAAATTGCAGGGATCGGCCGCGTTCGATAGATATGACATGAACTATAATCCTTATTTTATTTTACAAAGGGCTGATTTTTCAATGGATAAATAAAAGTTACCTGCGGAATAATTTTGATGCTGTCTCGTTAGTTCGTTTGTATAAGACAGTGACAGCAACAATTTTATTCCTCAGATAACATTTATCTGAGTATTGAAAAATCAGCCCTAAGAGTACAGCTGTCCTTACGTAAAGACTACATCTAATAGGTTAATTTATTCTACGTAAAAACAAAGGGTAACGTATAAAAGATTCTAATACAATTTATTAGCGCATATTGGCGTGTTTGAAAAATGGCGGCTCATGGAAACATCGTCCGCCCACGCGCTATATACTTTAGTAGGCTCGCTAAAGCAGACTATTAGACGCAATCATTTCACTATTTACGTCGTCTATTGACCCAGAAACGAACGATTTGCATACTTATGATGTACCCTTGCAGGCTTGCTGTAGCCTGATATAAAACAAGCTCTTTGTCCACGACTGCGAGTACATTCGTGAGAATTTTCGTATCGATGTAAATTGTTAGAACTTCTGTGTCGGCAAACGTTTTCGTTATGTAAAAACGACTCATTTTGTAGTATTTTGTACTCTCTATGATTATTTAGACACCACTGAGTTACGCGAAAGAAAACTTCGTGAGGAAACCTTTTTTTTGTCAGGGGAAATCATCACATGACTTCTCCCGCCCAGGGTCGGGCGGGAAGGATTATCAGGCTCTTACTGACTAAAAGCCCCTGTGTTCCTTCGTCTCCGGGCCGAGGCCGCTGTGCCTCGTAGCGCTTACCCCGCAACCCCGGCTGAACATCAGCCCTATAGGGCCCCGTCTGTGGTGGTCTATTGGCTATTTGAGGCGCGTGCGGAACGCTACGCGCCGTACGCTCGGGTCTGGTTCTGGTCGGGCGGCGAGCTACCCTTACTCGCCGTCCGCAGACCCGCGCTTACGGTAGCCGGAGAATATATCTCGTTCGTGAGGAAACCTGGACTTACAATTTCTCATTAAGTACAAGTTTGAAATCGCCAATCTGCCTTGAATAAGCGTGGTGATTAATGCTTCAAACAAACCTTCTCCGTGTGAGAAGTGGCTCATCACTGGGCACTTACATGCAGATAAAGTGTGAAAAACGAGTCATGTTGACAATGTCACGAGTAAAGCCTAAATACTAATCTGCCTAGTTACGAAGATTTATGTATTTGCAATTCTAATTAAACAAAAGTTAATACATACAGAAACTATAAAACCTAAATCTATGAGAGTAATACACTCACTAGTAGGTCAAAAAGTAGGTAATCCACTTCCGTAAATCAAAATCCCGCGAACAATAAGACACGAGGGACATCCGTACAACTTGTTTGATATATCGAGTCTTCCTTACGCTGTTTGTTGGACTTGTTTACGGCCACTTTTAGAGGATTTTTATTGCAGCCAGTGTTTCCTTGTGCGCACGACATGAAATATTGCAGGCGCTCCAATACGCCATGTAATATGCTCTCAAATCCACTGGCTATTACCTATATGTCCTCATTTTCAGTTTATCGAAATCGTGACTTGTATCGACAATTTTTACCGAAAGAAGGTTACCTTCTAATGTATTTATTGCCTTTAGTATCGGATGTAATTATGTTTTCGTTTTACATGACAATATGGGGAGGTTTCTAGAATAAAAAACTATGGTGAAATAACTAAATAAACAAGGCTTCTCAATTCAAAAATGTGCACCATTTTCCATTTTTCAATGAATAATATTTACGTATCTCGTGATGTCAACGTATTTAGATTTGCCAGCTAGAAATATATTAATTTAAATTACTGTCAACTGAATATAGCTTTAAGATCCATGAAAATTGCAATCTGCTCTAACCAGGATAGAAATTGTCTGAAGCTGAGAAACGAAACGCTCAATTAAACCATTGGTGCTGTGCACTTAAGACCGGCCATAATTCTGCACTGAGGAAATTGCCTTGTGAAATCTACAAATAATACGATTTCACACAAGGAAAATCTATTTCACGGCTTTTAAGTTGTAGATAGAGGACATAATAAGGAATCAGATTTTGCACCATATTTGAGCAGATTTTAAATAATAAAACCTACACGACCTACAGTTTAAGACATGTCTCTAGGTGTATCTACGATCTTAACTGAATCGACCATCTCGTTCCAAACTTATACACGGAAACTGAAGTTAACACCATCGGTTTTTGTAGTGAAAATCAATTTCAGCGAAAATAATAGGTCTGTGGTGTTATACCTATACAGTTATGTCTTGGCCTGAGACCTTGGACTGAATCTTCTCCTACTCCAAGCCGAGGCTGCGGTATCTTTATGCGCTCGACCTGCAACCCCGGACAACAGATATTATACTACATATAAATTAAACAGATAACTAGGCTTATGCACGGTAAATAACAAATTAATCTTACCTGCACCTAGACTACAAATGTATAAAAATAGCCCAGAATACCGCAGCATTCAAATCTATAACAAGTTACCTGAGGAAATACGGTCAACCAAAACTCTCTGTATATTTCAATCTAGAATAAAGTCCTTACTACTTAAAAAATCTTATTATAGTAGGTATTCAGGAGTACCTTGAAGATAAGAATTGTAGTTATAATTGCAAAATTATTCCTCGATTGTAATTTAAGTTTTACGGTGAATTTATTTTAAACTTGTACCTGTATTTATGTAATTATAATTATTTATTTATTTTATATGATATTAATGTTCTTTGCTTTTCACTTAATTTTATTATGCTTTTACCTTTTGTTTTCTAATATTTGATTTCGTCCAAGGATTTTGTGTTTTCATACTTTTCATGTGTAAAATTATAAATATAAAATGGTTATTATATAGGTAATAGTTATTATATGGGTAACACTATAGAATTGAATAGTTATTATATGTATAGGTAACAGTTATAGCTTTAAGAAGTACCTAGTAATAATTTTTAGCTAACTTTAATAACGTAGTGAGTTAATGTGAACTATATTTTATAACAATGCATAAAAGTGTTTGTGATATTGAAGTGATAACTAATGTAATAAAAAATATAACATGTATTATTATCTAGTTATAAGTTAAATTGCTGCGCCCTAACAGGGTAATGTACTGTACTGGATGTATGTTATACTTGACATTATATGTACATTGTGCAATATGAATAAATAAATAAATAAATTTCATATGTGTTAATGTGTTGGTGTAGTGCGCGGCTGGGCGCGCGGCCTGGGCGGAGGCGGCGGCGCTCTCAGTGGGCGGCGGGTGCGCGGGCGCAGGCGGCGCGGCGCGGCGCTGCTCCGTGCTCGGCGACCATCCCGGGGCAAGGAAGGGCCAGGCCGGCAAATGGCACAGGAACAACCGGGTACAATAATATAATAATGTGTTATTTACAGCATTTTTCAGGGGAATATCGAATACACTGACAAACCTAATCAGAGGAAAATCAAGCGCAATTTCGTGACAAATTACGTTTTCACCTATCAAATCGTGACTGATTAAAGATTGCACTTGCGCAGAATAGTAGTAGTGTTCAGTGCAGTAGGACTAGGTACTATTGAGATAAGTCGCCAAAGCAGAAATCAGCTAGGATATCATCAAAATTAGTCTTGCTTTTAAAAATCACGTATTTTAAATAGGTAAGCTTGAGGCTATATAAAATAAATAATGTGAACCGCTTGTCAGCTAAATAGTGCCAGGACGACGAAGTTATAACAGATTCTATTGAGTGACTTTGGAAAGCGAATAAAATCGTTAAACGATATTTTGTTGATCTAAATAACTGTCTAAAATGTAAATTGTGTATATAATTTTGTAAATATGTATGTAACAAAGAGCTGTTGTTGAATCACAATTATTGATGTTGTTCATTATTTAAATTTTAAATTGATATTAGTTTGTTCGTTTACTAAGAAAGGGGGGTACTGCTTGCAGGTGCGAGACGCTTCGTACGGTTCTTCGTCGGATTCGGACGGCGAGGCGGATGGCGTGGCCGGCGACACGTGGGGCGTCGCACGGCTGCTCTACGCCGGACTCGGCACGCTCGCACTCGGCCTCGTCGTTTACTTTGTCGGCACCGGCGACAAGGTACACCACCAATGTCATTATTTTCTAGTAACAAGACCTACTGCATTATTCTACCATCTTCAGATCCAGGTGTTAGCATAGCTTAGTCTTAGGGAATCAACTATTTTAATATCATTTCATTTTAGTATTTTATGTGGCATAACAAACTTTGACGAGGCTGTGCTGGTTCTGTGCTGCCAAATGAATTTAAATTATTATTGGGTTTAGCCGATTTATTAACGACTACTTGATAATAGATAATTTCATCATATTATAGGTTAGTGCCATCACTCATGAAATAAGAAAATGTTTAAGCAAAATAAAAAGTATTTGTTTTTTTTTTATTGAATAGGAGGCAACCGAATACATGCTTTCTTGCTCGTTCTTCTCCATAGGAATCTACACTTTGGAACGAGCAAATAGCTTCACTAGAGGACAGACGGACAGACTGACACATATAAAGTTAAACCTTATGATATCTTTTTTGCTTGACGATCAAAAGTGCTTATTGTGGTCTACTTGAAAGAAAGAATTTGATTTGATTTGACATGTTTCACCTAATATCGCAAGCAACACCAAAAAATCCTGCAGTACTTTGCTGGCTTCTTAGATTTTTAGAGTTAGGAATTGACTGAGAATTGAGGGATTTGATGTTTGCGGAGATTGTCTCTCCGGCCACAATGCCACACACAGCGAAAAGCAACACAAACCTTGTTTCACGCTAATTGATTCGTCCTGTGAGCCTGTGGATCACTTAGGTCGAGCCGGCCCGTTTCCAGCAACCGGTAAACTTAACAAATCAACACTTTAAAACTTTTTTTTCATATTCAAACAGTTTAACACTTTAAAACTAACACAAAATATCATCATAACTTTTGCTTTTAGAGGCGGTGCATAGAAGTTTTTAAAAGAGCACAAGTTGTCTTTTGTGTAGCGAGTGACAATGAACGTCGACAGGCGCTCGTAGCCCGTCGTTGGCTTGTCCTTTTATGTCCATTCGCACTACACACAGCGAAAAGTCTCATATTTATGATACTCGAGAATGTTGTGGGTCTTAGTAGCTGTAGAAGTACATATGAACTATTTTCATTTTAACTTTTTATGTAGGTATATTGGCTGATCTTGATATACATAAAAATGAGCCATTCATGTTAAAAGTGTGTTTATGTGATAAATGAAACATGTCCATATTATTTTTAATTATCGTCTTAAATCTAATAAAAATAAATTGCTATTCGATAGTCTCACTAAAACTGGAGAAAGGCTGGACCGTTTTGGACATTTTGGTCTTAAAATATTCGTTGGAGTCCAGGGAAGGTTGAAAATGCCAGAACATAATTAGTTATATATATTTGAGATGATACGGAGTACGGTAGCCGGGTCAGCTAGTAGTTGATAATATTTAGTTTTATTTAATAATAACTTATCTATTTCAAATTATTTATATTGATGATGCCTTTACTCATATTGACTAGGTGGTTTATACAAAATTTTAATCCCAGAAATATTACAGTTAGTCATGAAGGTTGTTGTAACTGTTCCAGGGTTTCAAGACTCCAGCGCTACGCCTGGTGGGCCCGTCGCTCATTATCGCAGGTCTGGCCTGCTGTTTGCTGCGTATTCTCTTCTGCATATTTGCGAAGCCTTGCTGTCGACGGCGAACCATCTACAAGGAGAACAGAAGGTATCTTCATCTGAACCTCATAAAAATTCATACCAAATTATGGGTTTAGGATTTTTTATTTATTCAGGCTCCGTATGTTGCCTATTAACGTCGTGGTGGCCCAAAGGTTTCAAAAGCTGGAAAGTACCAATGTGACTTTTCAGAGTTATATGTATACTTTCTATGATCATTTAGACACCACTGACAAACGGTGAAGGAAAACATCGTGCGGAAACCTGGACTTGTAATTTCTAATTATAAGTTTGTAATCGCCAATCCGCCTTGAGCAAGCGTGGTGATTATTGCTCAAATCTTCTCCTTGTGAGAAGAGGCCCTTGCTTAGGGCACTTGTAGGCTGATGATCATGATGATTGCGGGGTCACGTTTAGATGACGTTAACATTATAAACAATTGTACGAGACGCGCGAAGCACGGTCTAATAAGTTAAGGCAGTCGCTCGCTGGCATTTGTAACGTGTTTTTTTTTTAAGTAATAGGTCGGCAAGTCGGCAAACGGGCAGACGGATTACCTGATGGTAAGCAATCAGCGCCGCCCATGGACCACCAAAGGAGGAGTTACGAGTGCGTTGCCGACCTTTTAGGGATTAGGGATTTGGAGATTTAGGGATTGAGGAGGGATAAGAGGAGGGGAAGGATTGGGCCTCGGTAACCTCACTCACACGGCGAAACACAACGCTGTGGTTGTTTCACGCCGGTTTTCTGTGAGGCCGTGGTATCACTCCGGTCGACCCGAACCAATCGTAATGAAGCATGGCTCTCCCACACGTGTCGGTATTTCAATAAATATGTTGTGTTCCTGTTAACCGGTCTTTCACTTCAGAATCCCTGAGTCGTAACCCTGAACACGTCAAGGGCCTTCCAGGACCAACAATGATGATGTAGGTCGCCCATCAAACTATGTTTGAATAATTGAAGAACTTTTATATAAGTTGTTGAAGGAAGTTTTTATAGAAGTAGGTAGTAGCGGTACACATTGGTAATTAAATCAGTTCGCAATAATTAACCAACAAACTATATTATCTATTGACTATACTTTAAAGAAGTGAATTGGTCATCGTCATGAAGTGAAGTAAGCTATGATTATCTGGTTTCAGACTGTCTGGGTGCGGGGAAGGCGAGGAAATGCCTTTGGCGGGGAGTGCTGGGGGCGGCACGGGAGGTGGGTCGGGAGGCGTGCGCGCCGGGCCCGCGCAGTGCTCGCCCGCGCGCCGCCTCGACGCCTCTTCTTGCGACGTCTCCTCGCTGTCCAGCGGCGAGGAGGACGAGCGTCTGCGCCGGTACCGCACAGCCTCGCTGCACCCACCTCCACTACATCAGGTCATTCACGTATGATATCCATACTTATTATTATTCACTTATTCTTTATTGTAATTAAAAAAGCAGTAAGTCTCTCTGACCGTTTGATCATTTGGATTACTGATCCGATTTAAATAAGGTAAAGTACCTTGCTTGATAGGCGCAATAGACCTCAGAAAAGTGTCTACGATGAAAGTGGAAAGAAAAATTATGTCCAAAATAACTATTTTATATAGCCTATGAAATTTTAAACAGAAAAAATAATTGTTATTTTAAATGTTAAATATAGGTCACGCCGCACCAGGGGGCGAGCTCTCCAAATGGGTTACATCAGAGCGGGTCACACCACAGCGCCCTGCAGCGAAGCGGGTCTCAGCACAGTCCGGTGGCGGGACCTGCTCTCACCGTGGCACCACAAAGCGTGCCCGCGTCTCCAAGCCCGGGGGCGCAGGCGCCTCCCCTGCCGAGTGCGATGGCCGGTGCACCCTCACGCCGCCCGCCCCCGCGCAACGTCTCCTTTGCCGGTGGACCCGACGGAGAACTCGTGCTTAGCCCCGCACAGCTACGCTCCTAACCCTCAAGCAATAAAGGTTTTCGCAATACTCCCTTTTTTACCAAGATACTCTTCGGACGATGTGACTATATCGATGCGAACCGCTACGAATATAGGTTTTGTGATAGCGTGAGACTCTTGACAGTTTTTAAGTGAATTTTCTATTCGATAAGCTACGAGGTCGTTGATTTATTTGCACGTTTGGATAATATTCTCGCAAACTCCTATCGATACTCGTAACTAACTTTAAGTATAATTTGCTAGAACTAACTTGACTGTTTTGGAATGCCTACATTAGTGTGTGTTGTGTAACGAAATACATGAAAATCTATTTGAATTTGTAAAGAAAATTTTACACAGACCAATCTACTGTCTAAGTAATGATATCCAATTTTTTCTTCCTGTCACATTGGAATAGTTGCTTGTATTTTGTTACACTTCATTACTATAGATATGTTCAGTTTATGTGGCAGAATGCTTCGACTGCATGTTTATTGAGCAACGAGTGACAAAGGGTCTGCCAGACCAAACGTAAGTGACTTGCATGGTTATGCCACAAACGTGACGTTCGAAAACTGATCTGGCAACACCTTAACTATTTTACCGTAGTACTCGTACCATGTAAGTGTAAGCGTTAATTTTAACTGTGTAGCTAATTACTGAATGTGCTAGATCCCTCCATCTCAGCCGACTAGTAGACGCCGTGCTGCACGACGGGGTGTGGTATTGACGACCAAACTTTTATATAATTGTTACGATATAGTATTTACATTATAGACCACTTTATATTTACATCTCAATACTTATTTAAACAGAATTTTATTTATATCGGCTGGTATCCCGGCCGATTACTTTCACTTACAAAGTAATATATAAAAATTAGAATGATTTACAAGTTTAAGTATGTTCCTAGAATGGGCAGTGGTCCTGTGAAGACCAATATGAGTCTGGTATTTAATGTACGAATAAAGTTCGGTTGAGCGTCCAATGAAGAATGAGAACAATACGTGACAGTCCATCCAAAGATATTTAAGACGTTCATGGTAGACAGTAGAATAATTTATTAGTAGAGATACAAGACCACACCCCGTAGCACTCGGAAGCTAAATAGTAAATGTAATTATAAACGATTGTTTTAAAACTGCCTACTTACTACTAGACGCGAATTTATACTTAAATATAAAATTCATAAAAATAGATTTATAACTGACAATAATGATTGTTAACTGATGTATAAAATGTTATGGCGTATGTGCGTTGATTTTATTTTGATTATGTCCAACAAATCGTGAGTAGTTCAAGCGCCGAGTACCGACACCCGACTCTGTGTGTCTATGGGCACACAAAGGAGGAACGTTCCTTTGCAGCTTAGTCGAGCGCTTCATTTTGTACGATAAACTAACTTGGCGAGTGAACTACGTATATACACCAAAGGATATAATATAATAGTTAGCTAATTACATAAAGGTTGGTGTATAGCAAGTGATACTGTGTAACAGTAATGTTTTTATGTGTAAGTAACTACGGTAAATTAAATAATACATACATGTGTGTTACGCGTGCATTGTATATGGCACAATATAGTGATTACTGTTTATAAATATATAATATATTTTAGAAATATTTGCACCATTAGTAGTGAAATATTAAAATGTATATCTGCAGATTTTAGCTAGAGTATTGTGGAAGACACTGAACGAAGTGTCATAAAATAAAACATATTTTGAAAATTATGTTTCTGTAGACGAAACAGAAAATTATTATAAAAGTTTTTGATTAGTTTTTTGTCAATTATATATTTGTAATCAAATTAAAGTAGTTACTTTGAATTGTTTAAATCTAAGGAGGGTCAATTACTTACGTATTATTTTCGGGATAAGATTCGCTTTGTTTTACTTGCTGTCTGTATCCAGCACTACATGTACTTACTAATGCATAGATTACTCCATTTAATTATAAAGTCATCGTAACCGTTGGTATGCTTTACGTCAATAAATTCTGGATAGCAATATAATACAAATTAATATCTATATTCGTATTTGTTTATTAAATTATATATTTTTATTGTTGTTATGTCAACAAACTTATTCCGACTTAATGCTATTGGCGACTAGGTGAGTATGCACGCCATAATAGACGTTATGGCCACAAAAAATTCACGTTGCCTAAATTAAATTTCGTATAAAATAATTTCGACATCAAAAACATAATAGACGTACATAGATGTTAAGAAAAATATGAGCTTCGTTTAGACTAACTGGCTTGTATAACAAAGTGTTGTGTACATTAACGAAATAGATGATCCATTGAACATTGTCACTCCTTGCATCTCTTCATACTTCGTAGTTGATTAGGTTTTGTCGTGTGTACATCTTGGTTTGAACATCACCTGGTATGAAACAATATTTTCGCTTCACGTTTGATTATTACGATCTAAGCGCACATAAAACTGGTGACAGGGTTCATTTATTTTTGTCTACAAGCAGACGAGTTTTCATTTACTTGTTAGAAACTACATCACTTCTATTTTACGAAGGAAAATTCGTCTGCTTATTTACGTATATAAAAATTATATAGATCGTTTTATAGAAAAACTGTAATATTGACATAATTAAACTTTCACTTCACAGTTCGTACTGAAAACACCAATGTTTAAAATTAAGAAAATAAATTTGTTTCTCCAAATGAAAATGTGTAAATAAGATACAAATGATAATATCGAACCTTGATCTGTTTCCGATAATATAATAATGCTATACACCAATAAACATTTTGTTCCTTTACAATTTACGACCATGTACCTATTTAAGATACCAAACTATATAATTTGCGCCGACTGCAGAAATTGAAATGTTTTATTTATAACAGACCATGTACCCTGAAATATCCAGGTTACGAAAAGATAGTGTTTTCACAAGGTTTATATATATTTTAATATTTTAGTATATTCGTGCTTCCAATAAAGCTTGAATGGAAGATGCTTTTTTCGAATTTCCTAATAAGTGCAACGGCGAAGCGCCGATCCTAGATCCGTTTACCTAATGAGCTAAGCATCAAACTCCAGGGCCTAATAGCGACTGCATGTTGATTGGACTCCCATGTCCTCATAAATTATATTTAAGCGCAGTGTTCAACATTTCGTAATTTATTATAATTATAATTATAAGCTGTTACTTTCAAGTAAGTGTAACATTCCTCGCATCATTTGCGGAGTGTGATCAACACGCAGTCTGTGGAACCTCCAAATGTTCAGTTGTGGATAGATTTATGTAAATACTGTGTACTTGCTATTTAAAGAAAATAGAAGAAATATATGTAATCTGTGAAAGAGCGCCTTTATCCTACTATTGCATGTTTTATTCAAGTCAGTTCGTTTTTGATTAAGTATGAGTAATAATCGACTGTCTTCTAAAATATGACGTATGATTTTAATTATAATATGTATTTTATTTGTAAAATGTATTCTGTTCTATAGAAGCTCGTGTTACTTGTCAACTTGGATGGTGTTGTAATATTAAATAAAATATGTGAAATATTCCCTGCCATAGACTTTCTGTGTGTATAATAAATCTTTAAATAAGGTAGAATTGTTGAATGAAAACTTTTTATCAGCCTAATGTGTGATATTTTTATTCTGTGTACCTATGTATGATTTGCTCTCGCTTCTACATAGCTATGTTGTCAATTGCGACCAATTCGTGATGCTATAACTTAGTTATAATCTGTTATTAAAAGTGAATAATATTTTATTGTAATAAAGTGTTCCTTTCTCTATCGAAATAATTCTTAAAACGTGATTTATTGTGTTCTTTTTTTATTTAAAAAATATGAAAGAACTACTTCTTAACTTAATGATTTAAATGCTAGTCTTTAATCTTTTTGATACAAATAAGTTTCCCAACTGACAGATATATTTTAACTTGAAACATGACTATCCTATCTGATACTATTTTCAACTTGCCAACCTGTGTGTGGATTCTCCATCTTCCTATATTTTAGGAATGTAAATGAGGTGCAAACTTAAAGGATAGAACTGTGATTTAAATGTTATTGTTAAATGATCGATGTAAAGACGTGTTGGACAAAAATGAATGTTAACATTTAGTTCCAGAGGATAATGAAATAAAATTAATGACATAGCTCAAGGATTACCTTAAAGTAATTTTTTATTATAGAGTTTTATATAATAATAAAGAGCAATCGTACGTTATATGTTTTGTTACGTTAATGTAAATATTTTATGTCATTACCGGTATTGTTCATCATCGTTTATATTATTTATAGGCATTGGTGCATATCATGTGTATAGAGCAGACGATTAATCAAATAAATTAGAACAAAAATATAGTTGACGCTGATGTTTCATTTTATACCAAGCCCCTGCAATTAAATGCCCCTACCATTAAAATTATCGAACGAAAATAATTATAACATTTTGAACATACTAGCTACTCTCACGCGGTTTTACCCGATGCACGGCTCGGCCATTCGTGATATTGTATAGCCCATAACACTCAGGAACATTGTAGCTATCTTTCAGTGAAAGAATTTTGGCAATCCGACCAGCGGTTCCAAAGATTACCCCCACATACAAACACAAATTTTACCTCTTTATAATATTCGTATAGATATTAAATAGTAATTATCGTGTTACACGTAACAATAACAACTTACTCAAATGAATTAACTGAGAAACTATATTTTTTATCAACTGTTACGAATAGCAAAGAGTAAAACACAATTTAAATGTAACATGTGATATATTTCCTTTCAACACTACAATATTTTCATTTAAGAACACAAAAATACATTTATTTACATCAATAGTTATTGCAAGTCTTAAAATAATAATAATAAAAAAAATCACAACATAAATTTCTTAAGTTTTTATATCAATAGAATAATCTAGTTAGATCTGAACCGTAGTCACACTGTACCTTTTATTTTTATTTCATAAATATTAATATTTATTAGCACATGTTAGGAATGATATTTTAACGAAATATTTATAATTTCCAGTATTTTACTATATTGCAGGTTTATGACCTTTGTTGCACAGTTAATTATAAATAAAGGAATATAAAAAATGTTTTAATTAAAAAACACAAGAAGCAAGCTTATTTAACTTATTTTACGTACAAATACAACCGCCGAATTAACATTTGAGACATCTAACATCGAATGATACAATAAATACTTCAGACATACAAAATACGATACATAAATATTTAATAAGTAATACAATATTTGTTTTTTTTTTCTATCTATCTTGTAGAGTTTGCGCTGCCAATGAACGGTAATAGGAAGGTGCGTCATGTCAAATCGAAAATGGAACAAATAGTTTTCAGTTATAGAAATATTTGGACATTCAGAGAATAATTTAATTTCCTATTTAAATATTTTCAATCAACGCAAACTCGATTTAAGCTGATTTTACACAAACGACCTCATGCCATTTGTGTAAAACCACTTAACTTCTTCATACCATACTCTAAATGGACGTAACGAGAGATCCATTCCGTTAATTTTTAGAAAAATAACTACTTTGAAATCTCCTATAATATTATTTTAATTTACAATGTTTTTCTTTTAATTTGTCACCATATCTATTTTTAAATGCTACTTATTTATATACTGTCAAATAATTAATGGTTTTTTTTTTTTAAATTATGTAACGTTTTTAACATTGAAATGGAAGTGCGATGAGGACTAATCTATGTTAACATACCTATTTAAAAATAACAAAGTATGGGAGTTCTAGGAATAACATTGTTTTAATAGGTAACTAAAATAATACTTACGTGTGAGTGAATGTGCAGGGAAAACTGAATACTTGAAAAGACACCTCTATGAAGTATCTAAAACCTTGGATATTCTCAAAGCATGATATGATTAGGTCTATGACGTCAATTCGAAGTAAGTCACAATGTTACAAGCTCCATTTCGAGTGTGCGATAAAGACGAAAGATGTTTCTTTTTCATTTACTTAATACTCACGGCTCACACACTATCACCGTATAACCGTCACAGGACAATACTTAAACTAACATATCAGAGTTATTGTCAACTAGAACATAGCCATGAAACGTGGTTATCTTACGTACATCCACACGACATTCTTCACAACTAACGATCATTAAAGAAAATGAATAAAATACGAGAAACAGAGTCGATTTTTATTATCTATATACCTATAGCTTTCATTTTCATAATTGTCATAATTTAAACATAAATAACAGGCAGTAAAATGTTTGTAAATAAAAGAAAATATTTTATAAATCACATCACTGGTAAACAGAGTAAGAATATGAGTCATTACATATATCTTTCGATTACTCAAAGACAACTTGAAAAAAGAATTTGATTACTTTTGATAGATATACTATATATCTATGCTATATTTTTTCTTTGAATAAGTCGCGTTTGAGTAATCGAATGTAAATTTATACTTAGGGAGAGGGATCAAGGAGATCATTGACCCAGAAATCATGTTTGTAATCACCATAAAACTTTGAGCCACAAATTCATCCCATTCCCCCATTCTTTACCTTACTACATTTACCAAAAGTCCTAGAACGATTTAAAGGCCCTTGTCCGTCATGGTGTCACATTCAATGACACAAATCTTATCACATTTTTTTTTCATAACATCACTGTTATATCGAGGCTGAAGACAAAATTAATTTTGTTATATCTTACTTACACCCGATATTAACTTCAATACATGAAATAAACTTCTCTAACAATTTGAAATAAAAAAATGTACTTATATTTATTTTTGATAATATTTTAAAAATTTAATCTATTTATAGCTGATTTTTAATAGTCGAAATAAATGTTATCTGAGGAATTAAATTGTTGCTGTCACTGTCTTATACAAACATTCTGACGCGACAGCATCATAATTAATCCCCAGATAACTTTTATCTAACCATTGAAAAAACAGCCCTTAAGTAAATGACAATAAGATAAGACACTAACTTATTTCTGTATTTTTTTAATAGAATATTAGAATTGAATATTAATTTAGGGCGTAATATGAATAAAAATAAAAATAGATTTATCGTAGTATTGTTCTAGTAGTGTGCGCTATCTAATATCATATAGTTTCCACTAACCCCTTGCGTTTAGGTCGCGATGGCTCGCTAGATATGAACGATGTTTCTTCTGACGAGTTATTCGGCTTGTTTAGAAGAGTCGAGGATGTGCTTGGTTGACTCTGTGAACGAAATAATGAAATAATATTAACATCATCAATATCTACCAGCTATTCGGCTTAGGCCGCCGCGATTGACGAGTTTGCATTGTTTGAGGTTACCTACCTAAAGTGTAATCCTCCCATCACACACACGCAGTATCTGAAAATTTCTAATCCCCTATTTTGTTCATATCTGAAGGGCCCGCAACACAATTTTAACTCTAACGTTATTAATTTACGACAGACTAAAGACATCCACTGTCTTAAATGTGGATAAAAATAATTTAACATCAGCACCTTATATTATTATTTAGTTTACTAACATAAGTCTAGGTACATACCTGCGGTACGACAGGAGTAGCAGCTAGACTAGACACGACGTTGTTCCTCTTAATGTCTTCGAGTGGTATCTCTTCAGAGCGCGACCGAGGCGACCCCTCGCGAGACCCGTGAGCACTACTGCTGCGCGATACACTACTATAACGTGTAGAAAATAGAATTTTAGTTATTTTCTTTTCACAACATACATTAAGGGGTTATCCTATTGGTAGGCAGGTTGGATATTGTTGTCTGAAAGGTTCAGGTTTGTCAGTAAGAGCTGCCTAGTTACTAGTTCAATTTTCTATCAAACATAGGGTCCCTTAGTACATTTTTCAACGTTATACGGTTTTGGCATAATGATGTGTCTACTGATACAACGAGCACATCTATACTACTTCTTTTAGCATTGTAAAATATGATAAATATTAGTTCATGATATTTGAATTTGTTAATACAATAAATAAGTTTAATTGAATTACTAAATTAATATGCTTCTCATGCATGAGCGGGTCCAAAACCAAATATCAATGTGACTTTTTCCAAGTTATATGTACTTTTTAAG